GCCTCCCCCCACCCCGTGTTTCCAGTGGGACATGAACACCAACAGGACCAAGAGCTGTCACCATATACCAACAACTCTCACAGGAAGTGGATGCCATGGCTGGGGTGGAGGGGGTCAGAGGGAGAAACCCAGGGACATGGAAGTTCTGTGGACAGTCAAAACAAGGACACAAAGCTTGTTACTCTTTAAATTCCTTTGCCAACGTTAAACAAATCTCTCATGCTTAATACACAGTTTAGTGGGAAAGCAGCAATTCTACATCATGCATTTAACATCTTCTGCTTTGCTCACTCGGCGCTTCCTCTTGTTGCTGAGGAACCCCGGGGGCTTGGGGCGCCCAGTCACCCGGTGTGGGAGGAGCTGGAAAGGCCCGGCCCGGACTGGGCTCTCACCCAGCAGACGCCTACCATGTTCCTGCTTCCACAGCCACGGGCAGTCACTTTTCCAAACCTGAAGTCTGTTTTTTGGACTCTCCTCAGAGCCTGCCTGAGGGCCTGGCTGGGGTCTTCCCCAGGACTAGGGTGGGCAGCCTGCGCCCTCCATGAGCTGCACTGTGAGAGAATAGTGACGCCTCCAGACGAGACTCCCCTGTAAGGTCTCAACTCCCAACCGCTGACTGAAGTCAACGTCGTTCACTGAGAAAGCCAGGAACACCCCCTTAGCAGGTACTGCAAGTGGGGTCCCTGGGCTGTGATGACTGCCCAGTGGGTGCCTCCTACCTTACTCTTGGACATTGGTGGTCAGAGCTGCTCCCCTGCTGACATCTTGGGAGATAATGGAGTTACACAATGGGTTGGGGGACACCTTAGATACTAGAACTTAAGGTGACCAAGGAGGCAGAAAGGCAGGTTAACCTCTTTCCTGGTTTTATGGGGGCTTCTGCATTTGGATGCCTTTGGAACTAACAATGAGAATGCTGATACGTAGCCTGTTTATAGCACTTTGTACAGAAAGTACCATTAAAACAGGCCTCACTGGCAATGGGAACATTTGGGATATTGTGTTGCTTTGTATGGTCATGTGAAGCCTATTTTAAATGTCAAAATTTTCCCTCCTAAAGGCCAGGCAGCAGTGTAATAAATACATGCTCCTGGTCCTAAGAGGCTTGCATGGAAGACACTGTCTGTGGTCAGAGAACATTCTGGAAAGTCACCACACGGCTTGATTCACTGAATGGGAACCATTAGCCTAGATTCAATAGATGGACTATATTTTTTTCCTTTAAAAAGTGTTATTCTATAATCCTCACAATACATCAGAGGAGGTAGGTTAGTATGACTCGTTCCATTTTTGGGTGGGGATACGGAGGCACAGAAAGATTTAAGACGTTTGCCCACACCCATGCCATGAATCAATATCAAAGCCAGGTTAAAAAGAGATGAGTTTCTGAGGGCTGAACTTGGGGTCTGATCAACACATCCTACCCCAAACTTCGTCTTACTTATTCTTACAGTCCATTGAAAGTTAAAGCCACCAGGATCCTGTTCTCGCCAAGGAGGAACTGCCAAGGAATGTGATCAGAGAACACAGTTACTGGCTTACTTGCAAAACAGAAGTGGAGATTTCCCGGAATCAGCATAGACCTTAAATGCCTTCTGAGGAGATCTGATTCCATTTTTAAAAACCAGATAAAGGCCACAAATCCATTAAGAAGTTCCTGTTGCTTCCAGTCAAAAGTGGCCAAGGAAAAAGAAGGTAACAAGTTTTGCCTTCTAGGAATGGGGGTGTGGTGTGGGGGGCATCTGCAGGAGATACCAAGTGAGACCTGACAGCTTGGCTTCTTCTGGTTCACCCCATCTTCCCTACCTTCCCCAGCCGGCAGAAGGCCGCAGACCTATGGAAAACCCTGGACTGGGTGTGAAGATGAAGGCCCGCAGCCTATGATGCAGGCTTTCCATCTAACACTGAGATGGACGCCCCACATAGCACACTGCGTATGGACCCATGACAACCCACCAGCATAACCTAGTGGTTCTCAGCCCGGGGTGTCCCCCAGGGGGATACTTGGCAATGTCTGTAGACACTGAGTCGTTGCAGCTAACTTGGGGGTTGCTACTGGCGTCTTGTGTGTGCAGGCCGAGGATGCTGCTAACCATCCTCCAGAGCACAGGACAGCCCACAACAGTAAGAGAGTTACCCACCCCAAAATGTCAATAAAGCTGAAGTTGAGGAACCTGGCATCATCTGTGGGCCTTGTGATGGTGTTTTCCAGCATTCACATGCCGAGTCCCCCCACCCCCCCAGGTCTCTTCCCTACCCTCACTATCTCACCATGAGCAGGTGGCCATGGGACGGACCAGCAACAGCTTTGTGTAAGAGCTGCCCACCCCTCTGCTGAAACATGCCTTCACGGGGGACCAAGCCTTTCACTTGCAATCAGAATTAAGGCTAAAATGCAAATATCCCCGGAAGGAGGACACACAGAACCTGCGTTCTCATCCTTTCCTGAGAGTGCTCTGGTGGGCAGAGAAAGGTAGGGCATTCCCCGGGCGCCAAGAGCAAAGGAGGATGGGCCTGTTCCCATCCCCGGGCCCACTCCCCATCCTCCTCCCTCTCAGCGGGCCACGGGGCGCCTGAGGGTGTTGTCACAACTACGGAGTTCACATAGGGCTGAAGATTCAGCCTAGAACTATGTACAGTGCTATAGTTTTTAGGTCAGTTACTTTGTGGGTCAGGATTACTGATGTCCACTTTAATTAGAATCATTATTTTCCCAAACAGGACAGAGAGGGGGAAGCAGGGCTGTGTGCGATATCTTACCTTGCTTTGAATTAGGAGCTAGGATGCTATGCAGTGAGTTGCTATTGGACATTTTTTAAAAGGATTCATTCTAAAAGGAAAGGCATACACGTTGACCAAACTTGCTCACTAGCAAAGAACAAACTGCAGAACGACATTAAGGAGGCATTATTTACAATGCAATGGAACGTGACATTTTCAGTTACTTTGAATTCCTTTCTCACTGAAACTGCTCGATAGACAAACAGTTATTCCTCGGCCAGCCCAACAAAAGCATCGTCTTGATATAATTTTATGTACAAATATGCCACCACGTTCGCTGTAAAGGGACAGGGAATTCGATGGCAGATGAGAAACCCATGGCCCGTCGCCTCTACTCCAAATCCCAGGGGCTTCCTGGGAGGGTGACATAAAGCCATGAGCTGTTGATGATTCCTCCTTCGTTTTGCTGATCTCTCAAAAACACAGGTGTGCGGCACGGACCTGCCTTCTCTCTTCGGTCCATTCTTGTCCCTGAAAGGCATTTTGTGCTGAGGACAGGAGAGGTGGCCACAGGACAGCCTGACACGGGGCCCGGCATCAGCTGTATTGCTGCTGGGCTCCTAGAGGAGTTGGCAAAGGTACCAAGGTGCCTGCTCCCGGCCCTCACGGGGCCTCCTGGGGCTGCAGACCGCCGCAGAAGTGCGGGGAGTTCTGGAAGCTTCCCTCTGGAAAATTACCTTTCATTTCCTAAAGAGACCGCCCCGCCATTGTGGGACCTTCGCTGGTCCCTGTTCCAATCTCCCTCTGACCTAGGTGCTGGCTGTCCTGAGGATGGCACCAAGTCCAGCTGATCTATAGCAGCTCCTCTCCAACGAGGCAGAGCCAGGGCCAGCTTCGGGGATTCTGGATGCTCCCTGGCCTCTCATCCGGACCCCAATGCAGAAAGCCACCGCCGCCTTCCCAGCCACACTCACTCCTGGTGTCACTCCCAGCGCGCTGGTCCTTCTCCCACAGCTGATACGTCTGGACCCGCCGGCCACGTTTCATCAGCCCCAGGAAGGCCGTGGCTCGTCTGTGTCCTCCAGTCTTCAGGAATCCTCCCCACCTTCCAAGCTGAGTCCACCCGGAGCTGGCTGAGGAGTGACACCGAAGGCAAGTGGAAGCAAAGAGGAGAGAGGCAGCTGCTGGGAGGACAGGTGGCAGCCTGGGGTCTGGGAGGGACGTCCCCGGCGGCGGGATCTGGCGGAGCTCCGGGACAGGACGAGGAGCGCCTCCGTGCACCCAAGGAACCACGAGGCAGGCGGAGAATGAAGAGGCAAGACCTCAGCTCCCCTGGCAGGTGGCTGCTGGGACCGGGACATGGAGGCTTAGACAGCACCAAGCAGCTCCTGAAGACGCCTAGCCGGTCACACCTGCCCACAAGGCGGGGACAAGGCAGCCTTGAGGTCCAAGGGCGCGGGCTCTGAGGTAGGATTGTCGGATCTGCTGCTAGGGGGCATGGTCTACATAGCATTGACCTGGGCGACTCAGAAAGCAAGGGCAGCGTCTGAACAAGCAGGTAGAACAAGCAGTTGCTGCCGGTTTACGGGCTAAGTTTTATAAAACTCCGATCCAGCAAGTGGACAAAATAAAATGCTTGATAAAATATATTCTTTTAAAAAGGAGAGAGAACGGTTCACTACCAGATGGAAAGTGGAGGTGGCAGGTGACAAGGAGGAAAAGAAGGAGAGGACGGCAAGGTGCTCTGGGGACAGGAGCAAGGCAGGCTCCGGGCTCAGAGCCCTGAAAGTGAGCTCTCTTTCTGAGAGATGCAAATGACTCGTGAGCATCTCCAGAGAGGAGATCCTCCAGGGAGGAGGTCTGCGTTCCCAGCAAGGAGGCCCCACCTCTGGGCCTCTCGGACTCCGCACACCCAAGCTCCCCCCGGGAGACTGGGGGGCTAGGAACACGCTGATATTGCTGTTTCCTGCCTTCTTCAGAGGACCTGCCCCCCCCCCGCCCCCAGGGCAGAACCACCCCTGCCCTTGGGGCCGCCTCCTGCTTTCAGGATGACAGTAGGGTGGGTCTCCAAGCAAGGGCCTAAGCGGCTTCCCCAGGGCCTCCCACCTTGGGCGCTATGAGTCTGGGAGAGGCCCAGCCTGGAAAAGAGCAACTCAGACAGGCTTGCAGTTCCAGAAAGAGCCATCAGGTGAAGACCCCTCACACTGTCATTCCAATGTCAGCGTTTTCTTTGTGTTGAAGAACTAAGAACTGAGTGAATGAATTTTAGCAGACTATCGTGTGTGTGTGTGTGTGTGTGTGTGTGTGTGTGTGTGTGTGTGCAAGAGAGAGACAGAGAGAGAGAGAGAAAGACACAGAGAGACTGGTTGATTAATGAAGGACCAAAGGAAACCATTTTAAAAGGTTCTCAACAGTTCGGTGGGAGTGGTGAAGGTCAAAATTAATGCCCCTTTCTATCGACCTTGGATTAGGTTTGCAAGGGCATAACATATGGAGACTCGAGGAAGCAAAAGGATAACATTTCCTGGCGAAGATGGGAACCTGCAGCCTCGGGACTGAGTGATGTCCCGGCGAAGGGTCAACCCCTGGGGCATGGGGTTCCAAAGTGTCTTCCTGCCTCCTTCTCTCAGGATGCCAATCTGCCTTCCTTGTGCTCCCCCAGCCCCCCAAAAGACAAGGTTTGAAAACAGGTGGCAGGAACCATCATCAGAAACCCCGGGTGCGGGCGCCTGGGTGGCTCAGTTGGTTAAGCGACTGCCTTCGGCTCGGGTCATGATCCTGGAGTCCCAGGATCGAGTCCCGCATCGGGCTGCCTGCTCAGCAGGGAGTCTGCTTCTCCCTCTGCCCTTCCCCCCTCTTGTGCTCTTTCTCTCTCTCACTCTCTCAAATAAATAAATAAAATCTTTAAAAAAAAAAAAAAAGAAAGAAACCCCGGGTGCTTTCTCACTCCCTTGAGAAAGGTCCTTCTTTGGGAGTATTTGCAATGTCCAGGAGGAATGAAAGGGACACGCACACCCACGTTCACCACCGACCAGTGGTCACTTTCACAAGTGGCCAGTCTAACCAGTTGCCTCAACAAGCATGGCTTGCAGACCTGTTCTGCGTCTCCCAAAGAACACTTGTCTCTAAGATACTCAGTGGCTGCTGGGGCTGCAGCCATGACATCATCGTCCTACCCTCATGGGTTCTTTGAACGTAGTGAGGGGTGCTGGGGCTTTTCCCGGATGCCGGTGAGCAGCTCGAGCTGAGAGGCTAGTTGCCTGACAGCTTGGGCCGCCCCAGGTTTGTTGGCACTTCCAGTCCTGTGTGCAGGGTGACCTGGAAAAGAAGACAGGGTGAGTGAGGGTGGGGGAGGCCACCGCGAGAACCCCGAGGGCTCACATAGCACAGTGGGTCGCCACAGGTAGTGGCCCGCTCTGTCGTGTGCTGTGCTGTTTACTGTGCAGCTCAGTATCGCTCATGCAGTGTCCGCGAGTCTGCCCTGAGGAGCTGGTCTGTGCCCGGATCACCCACTCTGTCCCAGCGGCCAGGAGCCCGGACGAGGCTGATGCTCTGTTGCAGCAGGTATATGGTTCTCGCAGTTGCATATTTGTTTCTGCTTTCTTTCCAGGCCCCCCGTTCCTTTCCGGCACCTGTTCTAGTACCCTTGTGGGAGGACAGCCCATACTCCAGGCTGCCTCAAAGCCCTTCTGGGAATGGGTGGAGGTACAAATCAATCCATCAGTGACTGATGCAGACCTATCAATATGCAGAGCCAGTGGGCACCACAAAGCAGGACTCCCAGAGGGAGGAGGGCTCTGCTGGAAACCAACAGTGCTGTCTCCACATTACTCTCCCTCTCCCCTCACACCCTCATGGGCTCCCATTTTGTCTCTGTCCTTTTGGGGCCTCCTGAGCCCTCCCCCAGGACGGCCCAGCCCTGAGATCTAAAAGGACATCTTTCCTGCCTGCTTCACGTGGGAGCCAGAGGGCGCAGAGAAGGGTGAGAGGAAGCAGAAGGAGACTCACAGCCCCTCAGACTGGTCTCTTCCAGCCCTCCGCTGTGTTTCTCCTCTCAGGGGAGAGCCACGCCTGGAAGGCCCCAGCCCACACCTGGCCATCGGCTCAAGCTGGGCAGGGGGCACTGACTTCCTCCCAACTGCGCACCGAGTGCCTCCATTGCACCTTTCCCAGAAAATGGAAGCCCTACCTGCTTCCCCACTCCAATCCCTCCCCCCCTCCCTCCCACGGTGGCTCCACAAGCTGCCACCGTAGAGCCTCTGCTTATTTCAAGTGAATACGCAAGACTTGATCATGCCGGAGAGACCGTCTCCAGGGAGGGTGGGCTGTGGTAGGTAGCAACAGTCAGCTTCCTTATAGCCCACATTGTCCAAGTGCGCTTCGGAAGCCCCCGAACCCCGAGGGGAGCCGCCAGAGGGGCTCCTGCCTGGAGGGTACGCAGTACCTGCACGTTGCGGTTGAGGCTGAGGGCCGGCATGAAGACCCCGTCCACGTGGCTGAAGGCTGTGGGGCCCTGCTGCTGCCCATTGATGAAAAAGGTCAGAGTGTGCTTATTCAGGTCCAGGAGCACCCCAACAGTGGCCCCCTTGCACACGCCGCCTTCCGTCCTGGGAAGAGAAGCCCCAGGAAGCCCCATCACCACACCTAGCTCCGGACGTAGGTGATGGCTCAGAAGAATCACGTAAAGGATGCTAGGAATATCCTCACCCGCACACAGCCCCCGCGGCCATGCAGGGAGCTATTCTTCTGGGCTATGAGACTTTTCTTGAAGTGCGCTCACCGGTTAAAGGGCCACACAGCAAGGCCTTACCCTTCGTGTATGCTTCCTTACCCTGAGGGAACCAGCTTATTCCGTCCCTTTTATCCTCACAGTCCCTGAGACCTGGACCCCCAGGGAGTTTTAGGGTTTTGATGAGTGGGTCCCACTTGAAAACCTGGAGTGGGGAGCGTGGGTAGGGAAGGCTCCTTTACCTGCCAAGGAAAGGAACTAACTTGGTGCCCTTGACAGTTTTAACCAATGAGGATGTTGAGATCCACAAAGGGGCAGACAGCCAGGTCTTTGGGAGATTTCAAAAGGTCCACCGGCCTTCAGCTCATCTCAGAAACCTCCCAGGGACTCCTGAAAGGCCGTGCATGGCAGGGGACAGATGCTGAACCTGGAATCAAGTCCCCCGTCTGAGTCGCCAACAGTGGAGCCTTGAGGCTGAGTTGTGAAGCTCTCAATAAACGCCCTGATCCCACATTTGGCGGTGGTGGGAATTCACAACCGCCGCGCCAGAAGCATCAGTGAGCGGCACTGTGCTGCGGGGACCTGGCCCACCTGCCTCCTCGCCGTGTTGGAAGGGGGTCCTTCAGACTCCCTTCCCTTAGCTGAGGGCTGAGGTCTCCGCCTCCACTCCAGATGCTCCACTCTGACAAGAAAACCATTTTTACCCTTTTCCGGACGGGGCAGGGGCTCATCAGCTGCAGGCTGATGGCGGGCCAGAGAGCAAGGGCGTGAGGAAGGGCGTAAGGAAAATCGGGCGCTGACCGGAAAAGCGCTTCCCAAAAGGGCAGGATTCCCCGAGGCTGTCCTGGGACCCCCGGGGCCGGATCCCGCAGGTGGGAAAAAGGAACTAGAGCCCAGCCCCTGGGGCTGTTCAGACACCGACCGCCGGGTGGCGGTAGAGACCGGGCCGAGGCGCACACACCCGTTTCCCACCCAAGCGCGCCTGCGCCCAGGGTCCGCGCGGGGCTCCCCTCCGCAGCCCCCCACCCGGGGCTCCCACCCGGCCCCTAACCCCACACAGAAGCGGAGGCGGGACCCTGAGCTAAGTCCTGACAGCGCCGCGAGGTGGCCCTGTGACTTGGGACACTTGTTTAACCTAAGCCCTTCATATACTCCGTAAAATGACTTTTGTACTGTTGTGAAGACTGAAGGAGATCGTGTAAATCAGGTGCTTCAGACAGCGTCCGGCGCGAAGTAAGCTCAATAAATGCTCCCCGTTATTCCTCCCGTGGGCAGCGTATCTGGGCACCGTTCGGTTTAAGCGAGTAGAGACGGAGCTGGTGGGTCTGGACCGGGCCCCTCTGTGGTTTGTGCGCAGGGGCGGGGTAGGTCCAGTCCCTGGAGAGACCTGGTCGCGGCCGTGAGGGCACCGGCCGTGCGGGGACTCGGGCCCGGCTGCCAGTGCGGAAATGAAAGGGGAGCAGAACTGGGAAGGGAACGACAGCCGAGGGCCCGGGCAGAACCTGGTCGTGGGGCCTACGGAGTGTCCTGTCAAGCCATGCCCTGGGGCTGCTCTAGTCTCTGCAGCAGGCTGTGCAGGCAAACACTCACTTCTGCCTGGACACTGGACACCCAAGTAGCTGCAACACCTCCCCCCGCTCCTGACGCCTGAGCTCGGGAATGGCCGCGGGGACGCGGTCCCCACAGGGTCCGCGGTCCCCACAGGGTCCTCGGTCCCCAACAGCCCGCGACGGCGCACCTGTTGGTGTGGGAGTTGCAGTGCATGAACCAGCTGCGGTTGTTGTCCACGTACATGGCCCAGGCCTTGTCATCCTTGCCCAGCATCATGTCCTTGACCACGCTGGCCCTGGCCACCCCAAAGGCGGGGTCTGGGTGGTTGTCGTACCGATCCACATGCAACTCCCAGTAGTGCACGCCCTTGGAGAAAGCCGCCGTGCCCAGCACCACCCGGTCGTCATAGCTGCTGCAGGTGGCCGTCTGGTTGTCATTGGATAAAATGATGTCCCGGTGCCCAGAGTTGGGGTCAAAGGTGAACCAGGCCACTGGAAAGGAAGGAACCAGAGTCAGGGATGGAATTGGCTAGCAGTCTCTAACCTGGGCTGGGAGAAAGACTCATTTGCATCCAGCAGAAAGTTGGCATCCATCATCGAATGTTCTTTCCTGTGTGATTCACACCCAGGCACACACGTGTTCCCATGCACATGCGTGCACACACACACACACTCTCGGATCTGTGTTCATCCAGATTCTCAATCACATGAGCCCAACCTCGCCAAGGAACGCAGACATTCGGGCCTCAGAGCCCCAAATCTAAATGCATTTTATGGAGTCTTGGTCTCTGACACCCTTCCCTTACGTTCCATACACTGCTGAGAGTTAAAGAGGAAGTAGATATCCATGGCCCCACCTGGTGGGGGGGGGGGTTGACACACAGAGAGGTGAAGTGATGTGACCAAAGTCACCAAGCTCCATCCTCCTGTTTCGCAGCCCATTGAGTGGCCTCCTCTGTTCTCCAATCCCTCAGGTTGTGGGAAGTGAGGTGCTTACTCTGAAATTATGACCACGATGCATAGGGCAAGAACTGCTGTTCTCCAGGGCAGGGGGCCCCTGCGGGCAGAGAGCTGGTGAACTCTTCATGCCTTCTAAAATGAGCCTGCAGGTTGCACCATTTTCAGAAAGCATCCCCAGTTGTGCCCTTGACAAGAGCATCTGCTCCTGCCCTTTCTCCCCTCCATCCTTGGGAGACTAACCAAGTGTGTCACATTTTCCTCAGGGCGCCCAGAGGATGTGCTAGGATACATGATGACAATAAACAGGATTGGCGTCATCACAGGACGCTGCACCCGAGGCCGGGGCATGCCTGGGTTAGCAGGGCAGATGCTTTTTGGAACATGCTCTTTATTTATATCATCACTCCCTGCTAAGGACTCAGATGACCAAAATCCCACGAACGCTGATGTGCTCTTGTTGCCAGAAACCTGAAAGGTTGCAGCTAGGTGTGTAAACCATCAGACCCGGGCTCTCGCACTGGATATTCGAGGGATCGTTTCTTGCTGCGAGGAAAGTCATACCCAAGGACCAGTGGCCTTTTCTCCAGGACCGTCCTACCCATTCTCAGCCCCTGGGTCTCCCTGAGCCTCTCAGATGCTCATTTCCCATCCCAGTCCAGCAAATGGGGTGAAGAACTGGCTCTTTTTTGGTGGCTTGTGGGGAGGGAGGTGCAGGCAAGGGGCCACGGTGAGCAGGGCGGGGAGGGGCTGGGAAGAAAAAGTATACACTTCACCACTGCCGCATTCCCTCCATCCCGCCACTCCTCTGTCCTACGCAGCTGAGTGTTCCCTCCCGTCCTCCTTCAGAAGCTCGTCCACAGTGCCTGAATCTGGTCTTCCCCCGAGCCCCCAGTGCTCACCATCAGAAGTCTGCAGGACGACGGTTTTACTGTAAGGCCCGACGCCGGAGGAGTTGAAAGCCTTGACCCTGGCATTGTAGGTGCTGTTGAAATGCAGACCGTCGATGGTGCACAAGGTCTCTTTGCCAACATACACTTCCTAAAAGACAACCAAGAGTGCTCAGGAGGCGCCTCTGTTAGCTGGAAAATTTCTCTTGGCAACATGTTGTCATTCAAAGAGCTAGCGCCTCAATAGAGCTCTTGAATCAGGGGAATGTGGCTGAGTGGCTGCAGGGCCACAGACCATGTCCAAGTCGGGCACACAGTCCGACCACTGGCTGGCCAGCCCATCTGCCTGTGGAGATGGGAGGTGTGATGGGGTCCTAGGGAGGCAGCGAGGGATGGCGGGTCTGCAGCCAGCTAGCATGCCTCCGAGAATGTCCTGCCTCCGCTGAGGTCAGCTGGTCAGACAGGACTTCCCAAGGGGCTGGAGGTACAGAAACCCCCACTTCCTTCTTGGTTGGAGCAAGAGAAGGTTGCTGGGGTTTAGTGGGAATGTAAGCTAGGAAACGTGAGCTAAGCATCTAACTAAACAAAATCACCAATCTTTTTAGAAGAAGGGTCAGCAAAAGTGATGGGAAGAAGTGTGACCAAACACAGGTGGGGTCAAGTTGATTTGGATTGAGAGGGGCACTCCACCCCCTCCCCATCTTCTGCCACCCCTGAGGTTGGCATTTTCCACTCCTTGGCCCCCCTCCCCCAGAACTGCTTTGCTCACAGCCTTCTGAGACGGTGAGACATTTCTGTATGGGACCCCCAAAATCCTTTAGTAGGGATTTATTTTCTTCTCCATTCACTTCAAACTTATCTTTGTCCTCTTAACTTTCCCAAATGCAGAGCCTGGCCCTCCTCCTATGCCACTGTTTCTACTTTGTCTAAAACATCTTTCCTATCTGGTTGTTTAGGGGGTTGGGTCTTCATTTGTTACTCCAGGTTATTAATAATAGCAGCTGTGTTCCAGGCACTGTACAAGCCATTTTAATCCTCACATGATCTCTGAATGTTGTTTTTGTTTTTTTGTATTTTATATACAAGGAGACCTGGAGAAGGTAGGAAACCTGCCCAGGATCAGAGTGAACCAATTTGGAAGCCAGGGTTCAAATCCAGGCCCGCCTGCATTCAAAGCCAACACTTGTCCCACTATAACGTGCAGCTCCTCATAAATTCTAGCCCCTGTATCTAGCTTTTGTTAGTGGTCATGTCTCAAAGGGGAGAGGCATCTGTATTTGAATTCTGTGGCTGCTTCTTTGCACATCCTAAAACAGTCTTCTCTTCCCATTTCAGAAACAGGGACTCTTTTCCTGGTTTCCGGTCCCGGAGTTCTTTCTGGTCTTAGCTCCTTTGCACAGCCAGAACACGTGAGGTTTTGAACCCAGTGAGTGATCTGCCATTCCGTGCTGACCCGACCCCAACTCGTCTCTTCCCTAAATTGCCCACATTCACACAGGACCCAACAATTCCTAAGGGTTCTTTCCCCAAGTCTTACGTTCCTGTAGGATACCTTTCAAACAAACAAACAAAAAATGAAACAACATATGCATAAATCCCTTTGAGAGAAACAAAAGGAACATTGGTCTTTGGCAAGATTCGATAGATGGTGCAGGTCCCTAGGAGAAGGAAGGTCACAATTGTTAATGGTGGCAGTGGTTTGTTCCAGTTTGTCTTAGTCTCCTCGGTAAGGGAAAGGAGGAACTCTCGGAAGACCCAGAGTTTGTTCTCCTTGGTGTTCCTGCCCACAAAGCAACTTGACAGTGACCTGAGCTTCGCTGTGTGAAATCTCAAGGTAGAGTTCTATTAGGGGTCTGGGTTGGGGTCTCTCCCAGATGGGGGAGTCGAAGACCATTTCTGGCTCACTAAGAGCCTTTATTGTCGCCACGATATTTCATCACTGGAAACGTGAGTGTAGAAGGTCATCCCAACCCAACCACCATTTACAAAGTATCTGTCTTCCCAGGCATAGCACCTTGCCGGGTAGAACAATCTGACCCAGGCAGGGCAGGAAGCGACAGAGTGTTGAGGGAGTGGGGACCTGCGTGAGCAGAGATATCTGGGAGGATGTGGAAGAATAGCTATGACTACACTGGTGGGGTGAATTGGGAAGTCGATCCATGCAGGTGACAACTTCTCTGAGCTCGTCCTCTGCCTCAGACCTGTGTCAGTCTTCAGAGGAAAGCTGTCCTAAATTTTCTCTGTGGCTGCCCCCTCTGCCCAGACCTAGCCCTTGGTAGAGCAGCCCTATCTTCCAAGGGTCCAGACCCACTAGCCCTCTGTTTTGGGGCCAGTGCCCTTTGGGGGCAGCATTGGAGCTGAGGGCATCCCCATGGGCTAGTCCAGAAGCTTCGGTGTTACCCCCCAAAGCAATCAGGAGGGCCTCACCCGGAACTGGCCCCCGTCGCCGTCATCCAGCTCCAGGATGTAGCCGTCCACGGGGCTGTGGGTGAAGGGCGGCATCCTCCAGGCCAGCGTGACACTGTTGTTGTGGGTACAGCACTTCTCCAGCTGCAGCAGGGGGCCGGGTGGTACTGTGACAGGAACCGCTAGTTCAGTGCCCCAACCCCTCGAAGGGCCCCGGACACCTGTGTGGACTCTCCTCCCCCCTGGCAGTGGCCCCCGGCCCCCAGAAGGAACGGTGGCCACCTGTGGTCACTCCCAGCCTCTCGCAGCCCCAGGAGTCTCCCTCTCAAGGCGGGTGGGGGCGAGGGCAAGCACGGGTGACTGGTGACCGTGCACTTCCAGCGTGTCCTGGAATCTGGGGTTGGGGGATGGGAGAAGCATGGCAGATGCCCCTGCACCTCTGCGTCTGGAGCCCTAAGGAAGGGCTGTCCTCTTCTCCACCTGCCCACTGAGAATCCCTAGTTTTGAGTCTCAGACCCACGAGGGATTCCCACAGAGCCGGGGTCTGCGTGTCCCCGCATGCCTCCTGGCCACACACAGGCCTGTGTGGACCCTCTCTGTGGCTTATACCGAGGCTTGGGAAGGAGCTATTGGGGTGGGGGGCATGCAGAATTCAAAGACACATTTGAACTTTTGGCTGGAAGCACCTTAAAGGCCCAGGGAACCAGATCCGGGAAGGAGAGGCAATCTTAGAGTATCCAACAGCCAACCCTCGGAATTAGGGATGTGAATCAAATGTATCTTAAGTTCTATCATGGCAAGATCAGGAAAAAGGTTTTATATTCTAGCTCCTTTCGGGCTCAAGAGATTGTAGAGATAAATCCAGTCCACACTGACAATTGTTGAAGGGAAAATCACAACATTGGATTTCTAAACACTATGGAGGGATGCCTGGGTGGCTCAGTTGGTTAAGCAACTGCCTTCGGCTCAGGTCATGATCCTGGAGTCCCGGGATCGAGTCCCACATCGGGCTCCCTGCTCGGC